GGACCCCCGCAGGCAGTTCCGTCTCTGCTTGCAGCATCTTAACCTGCATCTCTGGCTCTGTCGGCATCTGTACAGACGCCCCTTTTCCTGGCACCATCCCTGCTTGTCCACAGCAGGTCCCCATGTGGCAGCCATTTCCTCCCACTTACGGATGGGTAGACTGAGGCTCCAGGCGGGAGGGCTGAGCTCTAGGCCTGTTAGAGGCCTGAGGAGCTGGCTTTTCCATCAAGTTCCTTCCCTTCGACTCCCGTGGACCCCGATCCTGTAGCTGGGGGAGGTGTGTGGAAAGCAGGGGGAGGCCCACCAGCCCCCTGCCGCAGGGAAAAGGCGCTGGGGTGTCATGGTTACAAGCGCTGGTTTCGGAGGCCACTGGCTCGTCCCAGCTGTGCGACCTCGGGCAGGTCACTTGCCCTCTCTGGGGCTCTTTTCCTAATTGTGAAACGTCAGTAACGAGAATACTCTTGATAGGACTGAGAGTACTCGAGGAGGAAGGCCTGAGTGCACTGGCCGGGCTGGTGGGGGCGGAGTCGGGGAGGAGAGGCCAGTGGGTGAAGGACACGGGTGTCCCCCAACAGACCATCTTTGAAATCAACGCCTCCAGCCGGGACTTCAGCAGCCAGGTGATGCGTGCCAAGCGGCAGAAGGACAGCAAGGCCATCGCCAGCTTCCAGCAGGGGCGGGAGGAGCGGCAGGTGCGGCAGGAGGGCCTGGCCCGCCCAGCCCCGAGCTGCTCAGCACCAAAGGAGGAGCAGCCTGAGGAGGTGGAGTCAGGAGAGAGTGCGGAGGTACAGGCCCCGCCCCAGGGTTTGGGGGAAGGGGTGGGTCCAACCACAGCAGCCACAGGGCTGTCCCCAAGGCTTCCAGCAGTCGCGGGGGATGGATCCAGGGATTCCTGTCCCCTGTCTGACACTTGTGGAAATCAGCAACTTGGCTCTCAGCCTCCCTGTCTGTAGAATGGGCTCATGGGGCTCGTCCACCATCCCTTGCCTGAAACCCTAGGGACCAGGTGGGTTTTGGGATTCCGAACCTTTAGGGTCAGGACCTGTGTGCCAGGTAGCACCTCAGAGGGGTCTGGGGTGTCCCCACCATCAAATGCATCAGAGCTTCTGCATGTGACAGGCCGGTCCCCGAACGAACTAAACAGCCCCTTGTGGGCTCCGGTTGGCCTCTGCCACCAAGCGAATTTCAGGAACGTTTGTTTCCACAACCCCGTGGACTGGGGCTCCGCAGCCCAGTGACGGGGGCACCCGGGACAGGCAGAAAGGCGCAGAGCAGGGGCTCCTGACAGCGGTGAGGGCACGACACTGCAGCATCGGAGGCTGGGCTGGGGGACCACGTGGTGTCCCGTTCCCCTGGTGGGCGGGGATGGCCTTCTGGTCTCCCTTACATTTGATTTGAATAGGGGTTCAGTGGCCAAAGCATTAACAGTTGAAAACCCTGGATTAGTCCCTAACACACAGAGCAAGGCAAGGCCCAGCGAGGGCCAGGACCTTGTGTCTGTCACGCAGCCTGGGGGACTGCCCTGGGACCGAACAGAGTCCCTCCCTGGTTGGCACCTCAGTGTTCCCCCACCCACCTTTTCTGACGCTGCTGGTGCTCAAGGCGGGTTGTGCCGTGCGTGCCGAGGAGATGGAGGATCTACCTGGCGACGCGAAGCGGGCCTGGTATTGGGGGCAGGTGGGCTCCTGGGGGCTGCAGGTGTGACTGGGCCTCCGTCCGCCAGGACGTCTTCACGGAGGTCGTGGGCCGGAAACGGCAGCAGCCGGGACCTGACTGTGGAGCCAAGAGGCGGAGGGAGGAGGCCCGGCAGCAGGACCAGGATTTCTACGTCCCCTATCGGCCCAAGGACTTTGACAGCGAACGGGGGTGAGTGGCCGGCTCGTGTGGGGGTGGGGGATGGGGCGTGGGTGGGGCCTGGTGGCCCCCCTCAACCCTGTTGTGCCTCCCCACTTTCCTCCTGCAGCCTGAGCGTCGGTGGGGACGGGGGCGCCTTTGAGCAGCAGGTGGCAGGCGCGGTCCTGGACCTGATGGGGGACGAGGCCCAGAACCTGACCAGGGGCCGGCAGCAGCTCAAGTGGTAAGTGCGCTCAGCCTTACTGCCCTTCCAGGCCCCCCGTGGCCGCGCAGCCCCACGTAGCCGGCCCGTGGCCCTGCCTGGCCTGGCTCCCCTCGGGTCCCCGGAGCAGGGAGGATGCTCCCCTGCCCCCTCGTGGATCCTGCACAGCAGGAATTAGGGTCCTTGACTCCACCCCTCCTGTCTGCATGGGCTCATACAGAGTAAACCTGATGAACCCCACCCCACCTGCACTCAGAGCCAGGAGGTGGCAGAGGGGGCGCTGGGAACCCTGTTCCTGGTGATTCGCACACTGCCTTTGAGACCTGGGCTACCAAGGCAAGGTGAGGAAGGGCAGGGGGCTGGCCTTTATTGAGCACCTACTGTGTGCCAGACATGGCCACGCTGCTTTTCTGGAATCCTCCAACACCCCCTCCCCCCCGCCCCATGAGAGTCAGAGGAGGAAGCAGGCCCCAGGGGAGCAGGCCACCTCTGTCCACGGCAGCCCACGCACCTTTCTCTCCTGCAGGGACCGGAAGAAGAAGCGGTTTGTGGGACAGTCGGGACAGGAGGACAAGAAGAAGATCAAGACAGAAAGTGGCCGCTACATCAGCAGCTCCTACAAGCAGGACCTGTATCCTTAGGGGCGGGGCTAAGCACCTAGTTCTGTTGGGGTCTCAGGGGCTTCAGGACCCCACAAGCAGCCTCCTTAACGTGGCTTCCCAGCTACAAGAAGTGGAAGCAGAAACAGAGAATCGATGACCGAGACTCCGAGGAGGAAGGGGCATCGGACCGGCGAGGCCCCGAGCGGAGAGGCTGGAAGCGGGGCCGAGGCCAAGGTAGGACGCGCCTCAGAGCACACAGTGGCACGTGGTGCGTTTGGTCATCTGGGAACCTGGCCCTCTTCCGTCCCACCTGGGTCCCTCAGCTGGTGACAGGCCAAGGGGATTTGAACTGTGGTCTGCGAGAGCCTGTGCTTGACCGCGGCGTGGTCCGGGCGCCCTGCGTGCCAGGGCCTCGGGGCTTTGAGGGGCTCTGAGGGAAGGGCTCTGGAGCCTGTCCCGCCCGCCACCCCGGCCCCCGCCCCACCGTGTGCTGTCAGGGCTCCCACTGCAGTGGGGGACAGGCTCCGCTAGACACTCCCACACGTGACGGGGGCGGGAAGACTCAGGGTGCTCACCTTACCCACAAGGACGCCCCCGGGGGCCGCCCAGGGCTGCCCAGCTGCTTCCCGCCTCCACCTGCACCTGTCCTGGGGAGAGGCGAGCTTGGACTGGGTCCTGGGCTCTCGGGTGGGCCTTAGCCCCGCTTGGCCTCTCTCCTCCCCGACCCGGGCCCCTCAGGGCTGGTCCCTGCCCCTGCCCCTGCCCCTGCCCCGTCCATGTCTCTGTGAGTTTGTGTCCTTCAGCCTGCGGCCCATTCTCTGTCATGGCCACTGTGGCTTGTCTTCCGCCTCACCCAGGGCCTCCTGTGTCCTGTCCTCTGCATGGCCTGCTCTCTGTCTGCAGTGGTATCACCTTTTCCACGGGGACGGAGGGTGGGGTCTGTCTCAGCCGTGGCTGGGTGCCCAGGGCCTGGCGTAGAGGGGGTACTCGCTCAGTCAAGCTTTGTTGTTTTTTTTTTAAGATTTTTACTTATTTATCTTTAGAGGGGAAGGGAAGGAGAGAGGGAGAGAAACATCAATGTATGGTTGCCTTTTTTGTGTCCCCTGCTGGGAACTGGCCTGCAGGGAATGGGCCTGCAACCCGGGCATGTGCCCCGACTGGGAATCGAACCGCGATTATCTGGTTCACAGGCCCGTGCTCAGTCCACTGAGCTACACCAGCCAGGGCTTCGGTCAAGCTTTGTTGAAGTCTATATCATCATCATCGTCACACCAAGGAGGCCCTTACACCAAGGGCTGGGCCTTTTCCTGAGCACTATACACAGGGACTTATTAGGACCCACGAGATAGGTGCTGTTACTCAGAGGGGGAAACTGAGGCACAGAGAAGTTAAGTGACTTGCCCGTGGTCTAAGTGTTCACAGCTGGGATTTGAACCCTGGCAGTTCTGGTTCTATGCTGTCAATGAGTATAGCAGACTACTTACGCTTTATTAAGCACCTGCTCTGTGCCAGAGGCTGGGGCCGCAGCAATGAACACAGAAGGGGGACGGGGTGGGGGGCAGTCTGGAGGCTTCTGGGAGGAGGAGACATTGAAAGTCGACACAAAGGCTGAGCTCCCTGGACCCCTGTCCCGGCAGGTGCCCCCCAGCCCCGCGCCCCAGGCACCCCCGCAGGCCGCGTGCGCTCCGAGCTCAAGACCAAGCAGCAGATCCTGAAGCAGAGGCGCAAAGCCCAGAAGATGCGCTTCCTGCAGCGTGGGGGCCTCAGGCAGCTGTCCGCCCGAAACCGGCGCCATGCCCGGGAGCTGCAGCGGGGCGCCTTCGGCCGGGGTGCCCGCTCCAAGAAGGGCAAGATGAGGAAGAGGATGTAGAGGTGAGCCAGCCCTGCGGCTCCCTGCTCGGTCCAAGTGTGGGTGTGAGCAGAGGCTCCGTGCGTACCACTGCATGCCTGTCCCCATGCTGGGCGTCCAGGAGCTCCCCGCAGGAACCGTGGTCCGTGAAGAGGAGTGCTGTACTGGCCATGGGGGCAGCGGCTGCCTCTGCCTAAGCCACGGGCGTTTGAGCAAGGTCCTGAAGGGTGCATAGGAGTTCGCCAGCAAGGCCGGGCAGGCCAAGACCTGAATTGGCAACTCGGCTCCTGCTGCTTTCACGTGTTCTGGGTTCAGAGATGGCGGCCACAAGTCTGAGCTGTGACTGCTTGCGGCCCAGTAATGTGTTTTTAGTGTAATAAACCTTTACTGAGCTGGAGTCCACTGGAGCAGTTGGAAGGGACAGACCCAGACGCTAAAATCCCAGCTGGTGTGCCAGGTGGGCAAGTCTCGTGTGAACCCCCCCAAAGGATCCCCTGATGGTGGGGCCCCATTTTGCAGACGAGGAAAATGAAGCTCAGAGGATGAGTCAGTCGCCTGAGGTGGGAGAACCCCAAAGCTGGTGGTCAGTCCCCTTTTGCCAGGCCAGCCTTGCAGCTCGGCGTGGCCAGCGGGTGGGAGACAATCTCAGGGTCCAGAGAGGAGGGCATGGCTGCTCCTCTCTGGGTATGAAGGGGTTAACACCGCCCCGCCACACACCTGGACATCAGAACCCGTCCTGCCTCCCACCTGCTCCAAGGCCTGTGCTCCTCAGCCCCTGTGGGGTCCTGGGAAAGTCAAGGGCAGCTCCAGCTGCTGGATCATGGAGCCCAAGGTCACTGAGTACCAGTGCACCTAACAAATACCTGCTTGTCAAATGCCCCCGGCCGCCCTGGAGGAGGGGCCTGGCCCTGGGACAGGTGGTGGGCGCGGGGTGGGTGCCCCAGTGTTTTGAATGCTTACTGTGTGCCCCTCATGTTCCACCACAACCTGAGTGGGCACGGCCCTCCCATTTTCAGGTGAGAACCAGTCAGCTGCCCCCCGTAGCAAATATGCACCTGTCTCCAGGTGTAGGGGTCCCTGGGGGGGGATCCCCTCCCCACTGCTCACCTGAGTCAGGCTACGGGGCAGGAGCCGTGGGCTCAGCCTCAGGAAGGCTGGCCAGCATGGCAGAGAGGTCCAGGATGAACAGCTTCACCTGGGGGTCCCCAACACAGCCAGAGTCACGCCCCAGCCTAGGGCTGGGTGTCCATGCCCATGGCATGGCAGGGGTCGGGGTAGTGACCCCCTCTTAGAAGGGGGTCACTGAGTGTCCAGTGCCCATGCCCAGGGCGAGGCAGGGGTCGGGGTAGTGACCCCCTCTTAGAAGACGGCGAGGCTGGTGGTCGCTGGGGGCAGCCACCGGCCTAAACTGTTCTGGGCTTTTAAAGCCTCCGTCAGCCCCTCCCCGGTCGGTTCCTTAGCAGATGCCCTCACAGTTTGCTAGCTGCCTATCACCTGTATTATAATTAAATTTATGTTTCCACTTACACCAACTCATTTTTCCCCCTTCTAATTGGATCCGTCACATTCACTGGTGTATGACGTACTCTCATCATCTCCATGGGTGGCCCTCCTTTATTTCGTTTTAATTAACTTTCTTATTGATACGAACTTAATGAGCAGCCCTGGATCCACTGCCAAGAACCAGAGCCCGACTGCGGTCGGGACCCCTTGGGGTCTCCCTGCACATTTGTCGCTGAGAAGGAAACCCCATCTCCACCGAAAACGGAAAGGAGTGCATGGCCCTGGCATGCGTAGGGGTGACGGAAATAACCACAAAATAACCACCACGGAAGCCAAACCACATCACCACATTCGCCAGCTGGCAATGCCAGTGGGTGGGTCCCGGGCCCGGAGACCAGGGTGCCGCAGGGAGCTTAGTATCCCCTGTGGAGCCCTTTCTCCACGCTGGCATCAGAGCCCTGGTTGCAAGGGGACGGACGGGCTTTTGCCGTTACTGCTTATCAAGACTGTCCCTCCTGGTGTCATGTGGGTGCAGACCTCGGTCCCCACGAATACACCCAACTCAGGATGTGGCACAAAGTAGGGATCCGGGGGCTCAGGTCTTGCCCTTCCATTGGAATCTCGGCCACCGGCACAGGACAGGAGTGGGATGGGCAGGGGGGACCGTGGGTGCCTCCCTTTGTTTCTTGCCTTCTCGAGGGGGTCGTGCTTTGGGGAACCCCCCAGAAACAACATGTGTCTCCAAAGTCAGAAACTTCCTCCTTTGGCTGTAAGCCTGGCAGACCCGAATGACTAGAAAAACTGAGTGTCCTCGGTCCACAGCGACACACGCAACGCCACCGTGCAGAAAGGCCACCACACGGCCCCACACGGCCCCTCCAGGTGAGCCGGGCCCTGCCGGTGTGGGGAGCAAGATGGCCAGGCACCGACTAAGAGTGAGTCCGGAAGACGGAGGTGTAGGTAAACGAGGCTCGCCTCCCCGCACAACCACAGCAAAATTCCAACTAAAACACAGGACAACCCTCAGAACTGCCAGGAAGTCGATCTGTGTGGAGGCCTGACAACTAGGGAATTAAAGAAACCATGGTCATCCAGACAGGTGGGAGGAGAGAGCAGCGGAGATGCGGACCCAGTCCCCAAAACACGTGTGCACATAAAACGGGGGTATCTCGGGGGCGAGGGGTCCCCGCCCCACACCAGACCACTGAGCCCAGGGTTCCAGTGCCAGGGAGATAAGTCTCCATAACTTCTGGCTGTAAAAAGCAGTGGGGGTTGGGTCCGAGGAAGAAAGTGGGATTCTCAGGCCTCTCCTCTTAAAGGGCCTCGCACCACACACGGACTTACTGAGACTCACTCCCGCTGGGCTCCAGCAGCTTGGAGGGCGCCCGTGGCACACGGGGAGGGACTGACCTGTCCGGCGTCAGGGCGAGAGCTGGGGAACAGCTTCCTTGGCGTTGCACCTTTTCTGAGTCTTCCCCCACACAGAGCCACAGTGTGGCAGCACCGCACCTGAGTCTCCATCGGCCTGGCTCACGTGGGAAGCCCCGCCCTGACAATTACCTAAGGGTCCGCCCCATTCAACCCGTTCAACCCATTGAACTTAGGGGCCCACCCAAGCAACCCTCCCACTCTGGTAAGAGCGGCTTTTCCAGAAGGGCGCCTGGCCCAGCCCTTCCTGAACCCTCTCAAACAGGCAACAGCTGAGCCCAGCCCCAGACCTCTCGCTGAGTGGCCCCAGGCTCGGCACTAGCAACCGCCACCTGCAGCTCATTTTACAGCTTTATGCCAAAGAGCCCCGGACAGAACACAGGTGGAGGCTGACCTTGGCCTGCACCCGGGAACCCCTAGAGCCCGTGCATCAAGTGGACAGCTACAGACCACGTCAGAGCACCACCCAAACACCTCCACAAGCCATGGAGGGAGGGGGTTGCTGGCCAGGCGTCCTGGCCACGACTGCTAGCTGTCCAGCCTGGATACATCGCTCTATCCCTCTCCTTGATCTGCTGACCACAGTGAAGACTCATCTACAAGAGGAGGGTGTGCTCAGCTTGTACAAACAGAGGGCGCACCTCGAGTACCCAGCTTGGGTGACGGGGGAGGCTGTGCCACTGGACCCTACAGGACACCTACTGCGTTAGGCCACACTACCCAGACACAGAGTCAAAGTAGCTCTACCTAGTACATAGAAACAAACATAGAAAGGCTGTCTAAATGAGGAGACAAAGAACCATGACCCAAGTGAAAGAACAGATCAAAACGCCAGAAGAACTAAATGAAATGGAGATAAGCAATCTGTCAGATGTGGAGTTCAAAACACTGGTTACAAGGATGCTCCAGGAAATCAGCAGGTACCTCAACAGCATAAAAAAGACCCAGGCCGAAATGAAGGACACACTAATTGAAATAAAGAACAATTTACAGGGAATCAGCAGCAGAGTGGATGAAGCCAAGAATCAAATCAATGATTTGGAACATAAGGAAGAAAAAGACATTCCATCAGCACAGCAAGAAGAAAAAAGAATCCAAAAAATCGAGGAGAGTGTCGGGAGCCTCTGAGACAACTTAAAACGTTCCAACATTCTCATCAGGGGTGCCAGAAGGAGAAGAGAAAGAGCAAGAAGTTGGAAACCCAGTTAGAAAAATAATAAAAGAAAACTTCTGTAATTTGGTAAAGGAAGTAGACATACAAGTCCAGGAAGCACAGAGAGTCCCAAATGAGATGCATGTACAGAGGACCACACCGAAACATATCATAATTAAAAAGCCAAAGGATAAAGATAAAGAGAGAATCTTAAAACTAGCAAGAGAAAATATAGGGGAGTTCCCAAGAGACTGTCAGCTGATTTCTCAAAAGAAACTTTGCAGGCTAGGAGGGACTGGCAAGAAATATTCAAAGTCATGAAAAGCAGGGACCTACAATCTAGATTACTCTACCCAGCAAAGCTATTATTTAGAATTGAAGGGCAGATAAAGTTCTTCCCAGACAAGGTACAAAAGCTCATCATCACCAAACCATTATTATATGAAATGTCAAAAGGACTTATTTAGGAAAAAGAAGATCAAAACTATGAACATTAAAATGGCAGTAAATACATAACTACCAACAATTGAATCTAAAAAACAAAGCCAACAAGCAGAACAGAACCATTGTCATAGATATGGAGACCATTGGGACGGTGTCCAGTAGGGAGGGGGTCTGAGGGATGGGGGGAAAGGTGCAGGGATTAAGAAGTACAAAATAGGCAGGGGGTGTTAAGAGCAAGCGTGGGAAATGGAGTAGCCAAAAAACTTATATGCACAACCCACGAACAAAGGAGAGGTGGTCGCCACAGGAGAAGGGGGTGCTGGGTGGAGGGGGGCCTAGGGGGGAAAGTTGGGACAACTGTGATAGCACAGTCAATTTTTTTTTAAGTAAAAAAAAAAAAAAAAAAGTAAGTCTGGCCCAGCGGGGGTGAGTTCGAGCTTACAAGAAGCAACAGATCAACGTTTCTCTCACATCGCTATTTCTACCTTTCTTTCTCCCTCCCTTCCCCTTTCTCTAAAAAAAATAAACTAAATTTTTTTAAAGTGAGTCTTGACCTGGTTTCTTATTGATGTCATTTGTTTCTGCTGTTTGGTCCTGGGACAAAGGAAGAACTTGGCACAAGTGTACCCGCTGCAGAAGCAGGGACACTGAGACCCAGAGCAGCACAACCCCCTTCTAGCCACACAGCAGATGACTGTCAGAACCAAGAGCACCCCAGGGGACCTACGCAGCCACAGGCCCACCTCTGTGACTCTGGAATCGCCTCTGCGATCAGGGTCATGCTTAACCCAGAGAGGTGGGATTCCAGCTCCGTGAAGTTCCCAAGATTTGGGGGCTGAGGTGACAATAGGGGCCCTCACCTGCTCCAGCTGCCCCTTGGTGTCCTCGATGTCCAGGGCAGGTGGCTGCCTCTGATGCTGGCACGCTAACTGGAACAAGTTGAGCACCGCCATCCTAGTACGTCCCAGGAGCAGGGTCTTCTCAGCTGCTGTGTCCTGGATCTGAACCCACTTGGATTCCTGGAGAACGCCCCGCCCTTCCCCGATTAGGGTGCGTTGTCCAGAGGAGGGCAGGGCCTCATTCCCTATGGACCCTCGCTCCCTGAGAGGTGAGGGCGGGCGCAGAGTCAGGTGCTGATAGGACTGGCCTCCTGTGCCCCAAACTGCTTTGTGGTGCCGGAAACCTGCGCGTTAGTGCCGCTGCCCTTCTGGAATAAGTTTTGCCCATCTGTTACCAGTCAGCCCCGGCACTCTTTCCCCGAGGTGGGAGGCTGGGCCCTACCCAGTGCAGCGTGCGCTCTCGCGCCGCATCCAGGCGCTCCAGCAGCTGCGCTCGCAGCTGGCCCTGCTGGAGCAGCTCGTCCTGCCCGGCATCCCGCAGCCGCCGCAGCCGCGCACGCGCCTCCTCCAGCTCCGCCAGCCGCTGGCGCTCCGTGAGCTTCAGCTCGGCCAGCGTGTCGGCCAAGGCATCGAAGTGCGCCACTAGCTCGGGGACCTCCTGGAACTGGGACAGGGCCCGGGGAGCGACTCACCGGGCCTGCCGCTCCCCTGCCCGCCCCACCACCACCTGGCTCTCCAGCACCTCTTCAGTTAGCCCACCTGTGAAATGGCACCACACAGCCCCTGATCCAGAAGTGGGTTTACTCCATCCCTACCCATTAAGCCCAGCTACACTCACTGCCTGTGATTACTGTTGATTCATTGTCTCATTCAACTAGTATTTATTGAGTGGCCGAATTTACCCACCCCCGCCTGCCTGTGCGTCCTTGAATAAGTGCTACCTTTCTGAAGTTCGATTTCCCCATGTGTAAAATGGGGTTGACAATAATTTGGACCCACTTCACTGGGCCTTGGGGAGAATTCAACAGCAAAGCACCCCTGACATACAGTTAGTGCTTGGTAAGTGGTAACTCCGGGGCACACAACCAGCGCTCTAGTAGTGCACCATTCCAAAGGCATCCCTGAGGCCATCCAGCGCTCGCTGCACGGTGGTCCTGAGCCCCAAAACTTCTTGCAGGGCACGCACCTCGGGCAACTGATCCAGCACTTGCTCCAGCAGGTGCGCGCAGGGCTCCAGCCGCAGCAGCCGACGCTGCAGCCGCGCGCGCTCCCGCTGCAGCTCCTCCATCTGGGCCCGAAGCCGCAGCGCCTCTGCCTCCTGGCGGCCGGCCCTCTGTCGTTCCTCCACTGCCCTCTGCAGCGTGCGGCTGCGCCGGGCCTCGGAATCCTGGAGAGATGGGGTGGAGAGGGATGGAGAGGGGGCGAGGACCCTCAGGACTTGGGAGCCTGCGGAGCTCGCCACTTCCACCTGGCCCCACCACATCGAGCCGTGGGTTGCAAATAGATGGCCCACGGGCCAAACTCAGTAGGAATCCGATGTGGGGCCCTCACTCCCCGCCACCGTTTTTAAACATCCTGAGTGCTTCAGACAATGGAATGCGTTTCCCACCACTTGCCTTTGTATCAGTACACCCATTTTTTAAATTTAAGTGACATGTGGGCCCCTATAGAATTGCGACCTTGTGACCTCGTGACCTTCCTCCCCCCAGCAGGCTCCACCTACCTGCAAGAACTTGTCAAAGCGGTGAAAGGACCCCTTTAGCTTCTGCTGCTTCTGTTCCAGCTGTTCCCTGCGCTCTTTCAGGGCTGCCATGGTGGTCTGGAAGACCTGGGGTGTGAGGCGTGGGTGTCTGGGTGTGTGTTTGTGGGTTCGGGCTTCTAGCACCTTTAGGTTCACATTTACATTCTCTCATCTGCTGTTCCTGATCTTGTCGCTGCGCCTCTGCCCAGATGCACCCGGGTGAAGCCCCAGTGCCCTCCTGCAGCCCCTCACGTCGGCGTCCTTGCCCTTCCCTCAGGCCTCTCCCCTCTGACACTGTCTCCCAGCCGCTTGACCGCCCCTGTTTTGTCCTTGCCTCCCAGTCTTTGCACGCACATGCTGTTTCCTCTGTCTCTTCCTTCTCACACTGTCCCCCTTTGCTGGACTAATAAGCCAACTTACCCTTCAGCAATACCTAAGACATCACTTCCTCCAGGAAGTCCTCCTTGATCACCCCCAGGTGGAAATAGGGGCTTCCTCTGGCTCCTACAGTTCCTTCTCAGTTCTTCCCTCCTTGTAGCATCACCAGCTGCACATTGGCCCGTGTCCTTCTCTAGACTGCGAGCCCCACGAGGGCAGGGACCATGGTGAGCCCCCGGATCCCAGTGCAGTACCTTGCACATGGAAGCTCAGTGCACACTAATTTGCATTAACAACCGATCTCATCTGGTCCCCACTTGACAGATGAGAAACCAAGGCTCAGAGTGGTACAATGACTTGTCTCAGAGCTTGGAGCTAATACATTGGCTCCATCATTTCCCATCCTCTGCTCATCACATATTTTTTTGTCTGGGGTTCCCCCAGAACACCCAGGGCTACAGTGGGGGCTCACCTCCTTCTGCGCCTGCAGGCCCCGGTCCACATCCGCCAGCTCCTGCTTCTTCTCCAGTAGACTCAGCAATGGCGGGAGGTGGTCGGGATTCTGCTCTGGGATCTTCCTGGAGGGGCTCAAGGGGGAGGTGGGGGTGAAGGAGGCCAGGGCCCCCAACTCCTCCCTAGTGCCTGAAATGCCCTCATTAGCCACCTCCTGGTTGTTGAATTCTTCATTCATTCAACAAATTGCACTGCACACCTACTAAGTGCCAGGCACCATCCTAGGCGCTGGGGCTGCAGCCAAGAACAGGACAGACAGAAGCTGGCCCTGCAGGAGCTGGCGCCCTGCTGTGGCCACGGGAAAGAAAGGCTCAAAAATAATACAAGATAATGCTAGGACTTGGTGGGTGCTACAGTGCAAACTCCTTCCATGGGTTGCTCAGAAGTTCTCTCTGAGGAGGTGACAGTTGAGCAGAGACTGCAAGGGGAAGAGATAGCGAGCCCTGAGGATATCTGCAGAGAACAGATTCTAGGCCAAGGGAACAGACACTGCAAAGTCCCCGAGGGAAAGACCTTGGTGAGCAGGGGCAGCCCCGCCCGCTGCTGTGGGGGGCAAGAACAGTAGGAGGGGCAGAGCCGCTGCAGGAGGCCAGTGATGGGGGACACAGAGATGCTGGGGCTGATGGAGTGGTGAAGGGCTGAGAGAGGAGTCTCGGGCGAACCTAGGACCAGGAACGGGGGGGAGGCTGCTGATGGAAGGAGGTTGAGTGGGGGCGGGGGGGCTCAGCTGCTTGCTGTGGCCAAGTAGAGATGGAGACACCTGCCAGGCCCCCAGGGGAGGGGCCCAGGAGGCGGCCCCCAGCGTGGGCTGTGTAGGGAGCAGAAAGGACACACTAACTGTTGGCTCTCCAGCTCTGGTTCAGGGGAAAACCCGCCATTTGACAGATGCTAAGGCTGTGGGTTGGGACCCACAGTCACTCTACTGAACACAGAACAAGCAAGGGACGAGCTTCTTCCACTCGTCCTTTAAAATGCAGTTTGCAGGCACAGGGAGCAAGGGTTCATCGCTTAATTCCTTCCCACCCAGTTTCAAGTGATTGAATCTCAGCTGGATGTCAGCTGGTGGGGGGGCGTTAGAGATCTTGGGGAAGTCGCTGGTCCTTTGAGCCTTCCACCCCCTCCCCTGGTCTGTGAAATGGGGCAAGTCTCCTACCATGAAGAGTCCGAGGAAGCCAGGACCCCAAGGGTGGGAGACCCCACCCACCCCTGCCCATCCTCTGACCCTCCCTGCCACCCAGCGCCACTCACGGAGGCGGCTTCTCCTGTGAGGCCAGTTGCAAGCATTCCTTCCGGAGAGCTGCCATTCTCCCGACGATTGCTCCGGCTTTCTTTCCACCTGGCCAGAGTTCTGCAGAAGCCTGGGAGGCCCTGGGGGGACTCTAATGGAGGGTAGTGCCACAGCGTCAGCGAGTTCAGTACTCCCAGGAGGCAGCCACCTAGCAGGCCCTGGTTCCCCAGGCAACCGTCCACACAACATTCCATTGCCAGGCCGAGACCGGGGGCATCCACCAGGGAGAGGGAGGGACTGTAGGGAGGGGAGCAGCCTTTGCTCCTTCCCAAGAAGGCTTCCACTTCGTCTAACTTGGGGTGCCAGAGGAGAGTATATGCCACGCATTTACCCCTCTTGGTTCCCGTGTCTGGTGGAGACTCTTCCTGGCTGGCTGGGAATGGGGTGGGGGCTCACTAATGCAGCTCTATGCCCACATGTCTGCTCTAAAGAAAATTATTGGGCACTCACTGTCGCCAGGTCGCAGGTGGGGTCATTTATCCCGGGGCAAGGTGCTGAGGGTCGGCCATGTATCAGCCCTTTGAGGGTCCGTTTCGATTGCTGGCCTCGTTTCCCGGAGCCCCCCAGCCTGGTTAGGGAGATAAAGGGGGCCGGCTAGAGACCAGCTTGGGAGAGACCCACAACCCAGATTTGGAGGACAAGGGCGAAGGAGGAGCAGGCAGGGTCTGAGCGATTACTGCGGGCCAGTCACTGTGCGGAGCACTGTACCTGCAGTGTCTGGTTTAGCCCTGGAAACAGCACTGCGGGCGGGTGTAAGGGAAAAGTACCCACAGCAACACTGCAGATGCTCACGGGTCTTCCACCCGGAAATAACTAACACGAGCATCGCGCCATCTTTGCTTCTGATCATTTTATTTTTTCTGTTTTAAATAACTTACTTTTTTTTTCATGTAAAGACATGCATTTTCTTTTCTTTAGAAATGTGTTTTCTTATTGCAGGCAACACTACTTAAAAAAAAAAACACCCTATTGTTACTTGTAATACCTACACTGCTTAAGACCACTCCTAAGCATTTTATGAGAGCACATTAAAAAAACGGAGCTAAAATCATGTATATTTTATCTCTGAGCCGTTTTTTCCAATCGCACAGACTGCATAAATTGATGTGAAGTTACAAGATGCACGATCTAATTTTTATCTTGATTTAAAAAAATATTGAGGTATAATTTACATAAAGTACAATTTATTTTTTCACATGCAGCTCTGTGAGTTTTGGCAAATGCAGAAAGTCGTGCCTAACCACCACCACACTCAGGATGCAGAATATTTCCATCACCCCCGAAGTCCTCACGTCCCTTTGTAACCAACCCTTGTCCCCACCTCAGCCCTTGGCAGCCACCGACCTGTTCTCTATCCCTATAAATTTACCTTTTTCAGAGGGTCATAAACAGAATGACATACCGCGTGGCCTTTTGGGTCTGGCTTCTTTCACCTAGCAATATTCACTTGTAACCCATTCACACTGATGTATCAGTAAGGTACATTCTTTTTCATCGCTGCGTAGTATTTCATTGTGCACTGTGGTTTGTTTATTCATTCTCCAGTTGGGTCATTCCTAGTTCTGGGCCATTGTAAAGATAGCCTGTATTCATGTGCTGTTTCTTGTGTGTGAATACATGCTTTCATTTTACTTGTGTAGCTACGTCAGAATACAATGGTCGGGTTGTAGGATAAGTGGATGAGTAGCTGTATAAAAACCCTGCAAGCTCTCTTGCAGCATGGCTCACCGTTTTGATATTCACACTAGCGATGCGTGAGGAGTTCCGGTCTCTCCACATCCTCTCCAGGAGTTGGTATTGCCAGTGCTTTAAAAAGTCCTTCTGGTGGGTGTGTAGCTGTATGAAGTACTTTTTGATTTTGAGATCATCATAGATTCACCTGCAGTTTAAGAAATAACAGAGATGCCACCTTCCCTCACCCAGCGTCCCCCAAGGGGACCTCTTGTGCAACAATGGGACGCCATCAGACCAGGAAATCAGCATGGTCACCATCCACTGACCGCACTCGGAGGTCACGGCTTCACACGCACTCGTTTGTAGGACCGTGTACTTAGTTCTACGTGGGTTTATTGCACGCAGACTCCTGCGCGCACCGCAGTCAAGATCCGAAGCCTTCCCCTTAAAGATCCCTCCTGCCGCCCTGTCCGAGCGGCCACCAGTGCCCTCCCCACTGCCTTCCTGACCCCTGGCAGCCACCCATCTGTCCCCTGGGTGGTTTTGTCACAGCAAGGGTGTTGCACAGTTGGAATCGTGTAGCACAGAACCTTTTGACAGTGGCTTTTAAAACTCAGCTTCATCCCCTGGAGAGCCATCCTCGTTGTTAGATATATGTTTGTTCTTTTTTTTTTTTTTTAAGATTTTATTTATTTATATTTAGAGACATGGAGAGAAGGGAAGGGAGGGAGGAAGAGGGAGAGGAACATCAACTGGCTGCCTCCCACAGGTTGGTCCCCAACAGGGGACCAGCCTGCAACCCAGGCATGTGCCCCGACTGAGCATCGAACCAATGGCCCTTCAGTTCACAGACCACACCAATCCGCTGAGCCACACCAGCCAGGGCTGCGTTCGTTCTTTTTGATTCCTAAGTAGCATTCCATAAAACGGATGGGCAATGTTTGTTTAACCATTCAGGTCAAAGGACCTCTGCATTGTTCCCACCTTGGGGCAATTATGAATAAGGCTCCTTTGAAGATTCGGTCCTGGGGTTTGTGTAAACATAAGCTGTCATTTCTCTGGTAGAGCAGGGGCCCAAGGGCACAATTGTTGGGTCCTGTGGTAAATGCACGTTTACTATTTCTGTTTTTTTTTTTAAAAAGAAACTGCCATACTCCTTTCCAGAGTGGCTGTACCATTTTACATTCCCACCAGCAATGTGGGCGTGGCCTGATTTTCCTGTGTCCTCACTACCGCCCCTCAGCCTCAGTAGTGGGGCAGCGAGGCTATTTTTTTTAAAGACATTCTGATCATGTACCTGTGTTGTTCATTCTGGTATGTAGGTATGTTGTGATTTCTTTAACGGGTAATGATGAACATCTCTGCATGTTCTTAATCTCCATCTGCATAGGGTCCTCGGCAAAGTATCTGTTCGCGTCTGTGGTCTGCGCTCTGATTGGGTGGTTTGTTTTTCTCTCCGATGGCTGAGTTTCGAGACTTCTCTATGCTTGTCGGACAGCTGTTTTCTCCTGGTCTGCAGGTTCCCTTTGCATCCCCTCCTGTGGTCTTTTGTACAGCAATGTTGGAAAGTTCGGCGAGGTCCAATCTGCCACCTTTGCTATCACGGCTTGTGTTTTTGGTGTCAAGTCTATGATGGGATTTGAACTCAGGCTATCTGGGTGTAGAACTGGCCTTCGTCACGGCACCACCTCAGGTGCAGGTGAGCCCTGCCGGGGTCCTTCCCTCCTCGGGCCCGTTCCCTGCCTTCCCTACCCCGAGGATGACATCATCCTGAAGTCAGGATGCAATCCTCCCCTTCTCAATTTCTATGGTATTAGAGGTGCCTTTTTGCAAATGTTTATTGAGCACCTACTATGTGCCTGGCACTGTGCGGGGATGCGGCAGTGGCTAAGACAAGACCTGCTCTCATGGGGCTTGCAGGATAATGGGGGGAGGGGATGGGTGAATCATATAGTCCTGTAAATATGTTATCATATCTGACAGGGTGAGGAAGAGAGGTCAAGCGTGCAAGGAGGGGACGGGGAGGCCTTCCTGAGGAAGTGACGTGTGAACCCAGACTTGAAGGAGGAGGAGTGGTGATTAGAGGAGACAGAGGGTATTCCAAGCAGAGAAAACAGCATGTGTAAAGGTCCTGAGGCAGAGAGGTGGGCCCCCTCCTAGACGAGAACAAAGGTCTGTAGGTTGGCGTGCAGAATTTAAGGATGAGGGGTTAGGTCAGGACTGACCGGGGCCAAGGAGTGGCCAGACCTGTGCTCCAAGTGACAGGTGAGAGAGTTCACGGTGACTCCTCCAAGGACACGAGGCAGAGAAATGAGGGCCCCTGGCACTTTTGTGTATACAGATCACTGCACCCATCCTGCTCTGTCACTGTTCATCGCACAGAGGACAGGAGAGACAGTCCTACACAAACAACCTGTCTTCAGAGGCCTGGAGCCATGCATGGTTCCAGCTCTGGGACCAGCCACTGGGGCGCTGCTCCCAGGTCCTGTCGGTGCTCCCCTGCTGCACAGCTGAGGCTGAGGTCCCAGCCCCCCACTCATCTCTGTCCACACGCCCTGGGGGTTGGGCTAGGTGGGGCTTCGGAATGACAGGAGAACATAAACTTCTCAGTTGCCCTTGCCCTTGGCCACAAACCCACAGGCTCTGGAAATATCCATTCTCCCCCACCCCCACCCCGAGATCTCAGGCTTCGTTGGCTTCCCCCTTCCTGCTTCTCCATTCCAAGGCCGGGGTGTGTGTGTGCAGTGGGGGCGGAGGGCAGGACTTGGGGAGTGGAGCTGAGGAAGGAGGAAGTGGGGTGTGGACTGACATTGACAGACACCTTGTTTTCAGGCCACGAAAGGAAGGGATTTACCACCTGCTTCCTCGGCAGCCGGCCCACGGGAGGGGGTTTTGGAAACCCTGCCCGCTCCTTTCACCGCTGCCTCCTGCCCCACGTGGCTCCCTGCCCAGGCTCGTCGTGCCCCGAGCTTACAAATGGGGCTTTGTGTTCCCGAGACAAAGGACATGCTTCTTAGCCCGACCTGGACCAGGGCTTGTCTGCCTCGCTCCCATCTTCGCCTCAGAGGCGATGGTGCCACTTTCCAGGAGGGGAAACTGAGGCCTAGACAGGGACGAGTCTGTGCAGCCAGCAGAGCAGAGTCTGCCTTCTGGTTTGGGGGCGAAGACAGAGAAGGGGGGTGGCAGGTTGGCAGTGACCAAGCTGCCATCCTAGGCACCGTGGGGAGAAAGGAAGGAAAAAATAATACGATTGCTATCGTATTCCAGATTCCAACCCTCGAGGGGAACCGAGTCGAGTTTAATGCAGCAGAGAGCGTGTTAAGTCTCTCTTCTGTGCCAAGTGGTGTGGGAGGCACGCGTGAATCAGATACCGTCCCTGACATTTAGGAGATAAGACAAGCATGTAAATCACCGCACCACAAAGGGACAGGAGACCAAGGTCACAGAGCGGTGCCAGGGGGTGGGGGGCCCTGGACTGACATCGCTGCCTTCCCGGCTACCCACGGAGGCTTCCCGGAGGCTGGGAGCCGAGCTGCAAAGCAAGGGCGGCGGCGCCTTCAGAAACCAGATGGAGCAAACATTATTTTTTGATTATAGAAGAAGTACATGCGGTGATGTCAAAGAAAGCCCTCCAGCTCTCCTCCTAGGCCTGCTTTACAGCTTCACGCCACTTCCTATTTCCTGCCCAGAGAGTGTTCTTCCCCGCCCATCCCTCTTGTCTGCTGCCTCCCTCTGCTCCGCACCCATAAGAGCAGGACGGTGCTAGGGCTGGGACTGTCCCCCCACTGCCGAGAACACAGTAGGTACTCCAAACACATTTGTTAAATAAAAAAGAACACTTTATGTATAAATAAAATCAGGATCAGGGTGTATATGTGGTTGGATATATGATGCTTTTCCCAGTATTTGTGTGGGATTGGTGAAAAAATTCTTTAGCATTTTTCCTGGCATGAAATAGTCTTTGGGAAGATCCTTTTTAATAGCTATATAGTATTCCGCCACCTTGCCATTACACAGTCTGTGTTTTCTTTCTCCCCACCCCTCCTGGTCTGTAGTCAGTTGTACCGGAAGGACTGAAACAAGGAGCTGGACGGCAAAGGAAAAGAGAGGCTTTTCTGATGGGCGAACTCTGTGGGGACCAGGGTGTTGAAGTCCGAAGTAGTGTCTGGGAGGACCATGTGGCCAGGAAAACTTGTGCCCCCTGCTGTGTGGTTACACAAACTCGGCGCCGGCCAGTTTCCATGGTGGAACTCTCCTACCACGGTTGAGTTTTAGCTTCCAACATGGCATTGCTGAACATGGAGTTGGGGGGCAGGGCCACAGCCAGCTCAGCAGGCCCCTGCCTGCTCCCTGCTCTGGGGTGGGGGGTGGAGCCCTCTCTACCACATGTCTCTGAGCTCTCCTGGGGCCCCAGGCCCAGCATCCCGGATGGAGAGGAGGGCTCAGTGGGGCCCATGCAGGAACCCTATCTTGGTATCTCTCTATCAGAGAGAGATCTGTTGGATGCAAAACCCCAGAGAGAGATCTGAGAGATCAGTTGGATGCAAAACCCCAGATTCCCCCAGCTCAGCAATCCGGAGCCGCGCCGGTCACTGAAGTGTGGCCACTCCATCCATCCCCGGCATTCAGGGCTGGGCCTGGTGCACAGCATCAGCTCACAGCTCAGCCACCAAGCGGGGCTCCGGGTCAGGCATGGCGGTGGGTTCGGGACATCACACAATGGCCATGACACTTATTGAGCACTTGCTGTATAACAGGGTTAAATGTCTGGTATTTATTTCATCTCACCCTCACGCGCAGCCTATGAGGTGGGCGTTATTATCAGTTTACAGATGAGGACACTGAGGCACCGAGGGGATAACTCACTTGCCCGAGAACATGTAGCTCTTAAGCGTCGGTGCCAGGAATCAACCCCAGGCTGGCCGGATGCTGACACCTCTCCCAACCTAGCACGTCCCCCTGCTTAAGGCTTGTATGGAGCACCGGCAGTGGGCACCGCGTGGTGCTAGACTATGTGGGGAGTTGGTGACGGTCATGGGTTTGTCTTTAAGGATCTCAGCAGAAGAGGGATGGGAGGAGGTTCACCATTTCCTGAGCACCCACTCTGTGCCAGCAATGACTCCAGGTGCCTTGCGTAGCCATCTTAATGAAGTCTCACAAGAATCCCAGGGGAAGGGCGAGACCCCTCCCACAGGACGGGCCAGGCCGGGGTGCTCATGAGCACGCCCCCTCCCCCCCCACCCCTAGCTGGGTGGCCTCCAGCCGGTCACAGGCTTTCTTTGCATCACCCCTTCCCCTTCAGTATCTTGACAGAAGCTGGTCTAGGAGACCTCAAACCCCCTGCCAGTGTGGGTCAAAGCTTCTCACAATAACAGGAAGTGGCCCGGCCATTTGGAAAGTTTGGGGATTCTGGCTACAGCCCCAGGCACATAGTAGCGGTCAGATGCCAGATACTGGACAGGCAACAGAGCTGGCTCCCTGGAGACCTGGCTGGGTGGTGTATAACCTTCGTAAAACCCCCGGGGGCCCAGGGAGGGGAGCCGGGAATAGGACTTCCTGCTCGGCTCTGCAAGATGGGCTGATATGGCGGTGGCAGTTTGGCTGGCAGCCCAGCTGGCCCCAGAACTGGGCCCCCCAGGTTGCATCAGGGGTCCCTAGGGGCTGGATAGCCTGTCTGAGGTCTCTGCAAGATCTGAAAAGAAAAAAGTTCAGCCGAAAGCTTCCACTTGGGTTGGGGGAGGAGGGCCCGGACACCTGTCTTACAGTAGCCCTCACATAGCAAGTACCCGTTTTCCCATGGTGAGGACAACAGTTGGGGGGAGGGGGCTTTAAGTACTCCCTTGGGGCTCCCATTGTTCTGGATTCAACCCTGGATATCACCCTTTATCCCCAACTGAAGGATATCACAGTACTTCTACGGCTTGGGGCCAGCTCTGCTAGACCCATTCCCAGATGGGACTACTGAGGCCCAGACTTTGGAAGTCGGAGGACTCACCAGACAGTGGCCAACTGGGGATGGAATTCCAGGGATCCCAGTCCCTCGTGAGCCTGGCTGGAGCGCTGGGTGGGAAGTCAAGGAGGGAGAGTAGGAAGCAGCTCATTGGGTTACTGCTGAACATGGCCTTCCCGGCCCCACCAGTCTGGGCGTTGGTTCCCACGCTCACTCAGCAACGGCCTTCCCATTGGTGCCCAGCCCTGGGCTGACTGGAGTGACTCAGGTGAGGCACCAGCCCTCCTAAGACCTCTCAGGCAGGTAAACAATGAACTCACGGGGAGAAATAGTGCGTGTAAGTGCCTCCTTGGGACAGGCCCTTCGGGTCATATTATCTCATTTAAAACTTGAAAAATGTACAAGCCCAGAGCTGAAAGAGCAGGTGAAAAGGGAAGAAAACCTCTGGTGGGAGGGTATCCTGGAAGACTTCCCAGAGGAGGTGACATATGAGCTATGCCTTGAAGGAAAATAATTATAACAATAGCAAACACTTTTTGAAGCTTCCCAGGTGCCCGTGGCTGTTTTAAGACCTGTATCTGCTCCCCTCTTACCTCCTTTATCTCATCTAATTCTCTCAGAACCTGGTGCAAGAGATACTATGTCCCCTTACAAGAGATGAGAAAACCGTCAAGTTTCAGAGAGGCTGACTTGCTCAAGATCACACAGCTACCAAGGGGCCCGAGTCATGACTCAAACCCATTGGTTTGTCTCATTAGGCAAACCAATGACCGATAAGACCTCCCTGGACTTCTTTAATCCCTCTGAACCTCTGTTTCCTTATCCATAAAGTGGGGGTAATAGTACAATCCTACCTACAGCACAGAGTTATTGTGAAGAGGAAGAGGAAAAGGAGATAATGCCTGTAAACCGCTTAGAGCAGTGCCTGGAGCACAGCAAGTGTTCAAACAATTGTAGATGACTTTTATCATCTGTAGTGGTTGCTCCCCTCCCCCTCCGGCCGCGGCTTCCTCCCCCGCAGTGCCAGCCAGTGACGTGGGTGCTGCCGCTCGCACAGTCTGGGTTTAATTGGAAACTAAGAGATGGAAAGGGATGTTTGAGGCCCCTCCTTCAAATCTGAACGGACCCCCAAGGAATAGGCGACTCTCTCTCTAGCGACATCTCCCGCCAGCCGCGGATACTGCTCCCGGACAGGGCGGGGAGGTCGGGTTCCGGAAGCTCCCCCGGGGCTGTGGGCAGAAAAGGGCCAGGGAGATGTGCATGTGTTGGAGGGAAGGCAGGCAGGGGACACCCTACGTTTTCTGAGCCCAATGCCAACTCACCAGGAACCGTTGGCCACGCCCGTCATGGCCGTGGGCCGCTCCCCACCTGGCTGTCCCAGCCTTGGAGCGCCCTGGTCTCTGCGGCCCGTGCGCTCTGGTGCGCTTGGCTGGGTGCCGGCAGAGAGCGCACGCGAGGGGCCGGCGACCAGCGGGGGACCCAGTGGGAGGCAGGGTTGCTGGGAGGGCCCTGGGCCGCCCCCTTCCGCCTTCAGCCCATCCTGCCCGCCCACTAGGAGCTCCAGACTCAGAGGCAAAAGCCGGCGGTGCTCCCAGAGCGCTCTGCCTGCTCCGCGCAGTGCTTCTACCTGTAGAGCCCCGGGCGTTGGGGAACCCCCCTTCCCGGACACCTATCCCATCTTCTCCCTCAAAATCCTCCCGCCCAGCTACCCGCATCCAGTTAGGAGGCGCTGGGACCCCAGGACACGGCGCCAGGCTCGCAGCTGGTGCCATGTAGACTCCCTCCTCTTTCCCCCACGGCGGTCCAGTCTCGGAGCCTGGGCGCCCTCCTGCCCGCAAAGTTTGGGGTTGGGCGCCATGGCCAAAAGCAGCTCCCTGAATGTCCGCGTGGTGGAGGGCCGGGCGCTGCCCGCCAAGGACGTGTGAGTACTCCCGGAGCCAGTAGGGAGAGAGGGGTGCACGCGGCATGGGATGGGGCGGGGTCGTCCATTCCGCGTGCTAGGGAGGGGCAGCGAGGGGGGGGGTCTTGTCTAAGACCCTAAGGCCCATATTGGGGCAGATTCGCTTTCATGGGGTGAGGGACCCTATGCCCATTGCTGTCCTAGTCAGAGGGGGTGCCCAGACTTAACAGATGCCCCCCTTCTGCCGCCCCCTCTCCCGGAAGAGGGGATGACTTTATTCTTGGGATGTACTAAAGGGGGTCTCCATAGCTTCTGCCTGGCAATTGGAGGGCCAGATTCTGTGGGAGCTGGGGAGGTGCATGGGAAGGGGGGGTCTCTTCTTTAGTGCAGGTAGGTGTTGGAGGTGGGGCTTCTCCAGGCTTGAGTGGGCTCTTAACGACAGAACCCTGGGGAGGAGCCCCGAAAGGCAGGGGATCTGGGTGGCCCCAGCATTCCTCTGTGTGCATCTGGGATTGAGGTTTGCAGGGTGTCACCAGATGACCAGATGGCCAGTGGTCCAGCCCTGGGGGAAACTGGGTTCCCTTGACCCAGAGCCCTGAGCTCCCCAGCCAGTGGCTCCCAGCCCAGCATGGGCCTCCCCTGGGTGCTGAGTGGCTTGAAAGCCAACTGCCCCTCTGCAGCCCCCTTCCCAGCCAGATGTGATGGGTCTGGAGAGCCCTTGGGCCCCCCTCAGTCCCAGTCCTTGGCTCTGCTTCCCCTAGCTGAGTCAGCAGCTGCCTAATCAGCAGAATGGTGGGAGGGGTCCCCCTCCTGCTTGGCCTAGAGCCCAGAAGGGGTTCTGAGGGTGTCAGCACCTGGGATAGGTATGGGATCCTTGGCAGGACATCTGCCATGTGACCTTGAACCTGGTTCTTTCTGGGTCTCAGTGTCCCATCTGTGCAGAGGGAGCTCTGGACAGGGTCTCCAGGCCAGGAGCAGCCGTGTGGGTGGGGAGCCTATGAGACTTTACCCCCTGGCCAAGGCAGGCAGGAACCTGGATTCTGAGCTTCTGCACAAGTGGAGTCTGGGGCTTAGCTCTGCACTAACCCCCCCAGCTCTGGGTCCCAGGAGGGAGTATCCTTGCCTTCGATTTCATGACCTGCCCCCTCCCCAACACTACAGCTGTGTCAAGGGGGTGGGGGTGGGGAGCTGCTGAGAGCTCCCTCCGTCCTCAACAAATAAACAGGCCCCTGAGACTGAGGCGGTACGCTGTGCCAACACAGTATCAGGACAAGCCCCCTGCCTCCCTCTTTCTGAGATGTCCTCTGGGAGCCCACGAGAATGGGAGATTCTGGAACCGTGGGGACACACACTGGGGCTCGGAGTGGGGCCCTGGCAGCTGATGGAGGGCCGAGGAGGGGGCCCTTCCAGAAACCGGCGTTTCCATCTCACTGAGCTCCGCTCCCTGCCCCCCACCAGTCCTGGTGAGGGGCGGCCTCTCCTGAGGAGGGAGTTGAGTCATACCTGGTTCCTGAGCCATCCCTCCTCCTTCATGTTCCTGGGCCAAGGTGAGCTGTGGCATGGGCCAGTCCCCAGAGCAAAAGGTAGGGAGTCACACAGCCTCAGCTGGGGACCCAGACCCCTGCCTCGGTGTCCCCGTGCTTAGCACTTCTTATGGTGCTGTTCGCATTTCCATTTTACAAAAGGGCAAACTGAGGCCCGGAGTGACAAAGTCACTTCCCTAACATCTCATGGCTGGGATATGAAGACTGACCGTTCCCACGCACAAACCAGACTGGGCAGGCAGACTTGGGGCTGGCATTCCCGCACTTGAGGTGGGGAGGGGCCGTGGGAGAGGCTAAGGGTCTGGAGAGATCAGGGATCTGAAGGGGGCGGCCCCCTCCCGCCACAGTTGCCCCTACCTGATGGGAACCTGATAAGGCCCTCGTGCGTCAGAGCCCCGCAGCTGACATGTGAGCCTGGCTCCCAGGAGGGCCCGGGTGTCAGGCGGGGTCACCAGGAGGGGCTGTGCCTCCCAGCCCTTTGCTGGTGGGATCCCGGTCCACACCTGCAGTTGGGGAAGTGGAGGAATGGGAACCTGCCTTAAAGAAGAGCAGGGATAGGGAGCCCAGAGACCGAAATGAGATGTGGGGGGTTATCCAGCTGGGGACACCCATGGGGTGGAGCCAGGTAGGCAAACTGAGGCTCCTGGGGTTACTCAGCCAAAGGGGAAACTGAGGCCCGGGGCACTACACAGAAGGGGGGTTGGAGGTAGGAATCTAGAGAGGAGCTCAGAGACCCAGGCCACTGCCCTGTGGGCACCCCACAGGGAAATGAAGGCGTGGGAGCACCGGGAGCACCCAGCAAAAGCAGCCAAGGGAAGGGCTCCGGAGCGGACAGCGAGGCACAGGGAGGGCTCAGCCAGCAGACGAGCCTCGGGTTGCAGCCCTCCTGGCACCCACGTCCCCGTTCCTTGGAATCCCTGAGGCATCTGTGGATCAGTGACGAGCTGAACTGAGAAGGGATGACAGAGAGAGTGGGGGGGGCGGCTGGGGTTGGAGGGAAGGGTCATTTGGGGAAGGTGTTGTGAAGGGTGCTGGAGGCGGCCTTGGTTAAAGGGGGTGTGGACTGAGCCCTGCAGACCTGGGTTTGGATGCTGGCTGGCTGCTGGTGGGGGTGGGGGACACAGGTCCTCCCCAGGGAGCTCACAGTTCAGAAGTTGCGGGGAGCCTGGAGACAGACACTTAACACAGGGAGAAACAAGGGAGCAGGGTGATTTCTGGCGCTCAGAGGCATCGGAGGTCAGTTTCACGACAGATGGTGATGGTCAGAGAGGTGAGGATGAGGTCTGAACACAGGAGGAAAGCCAGCCATGGCAAGATCGGGGACGGCGTGTCTCAGGCAGGTGGAACAGCACATGCAAAGGCCCTGAGGCTGGACTGAGCTGGGTGCGAGACAGAGGAGGCCTGTGTGATGGGACAAGGGGAGGTGAGGGACCGGGCTGGTAACTCTTATGAAGGGGGGATGGCACTAACTTTGGTGAGCTGATGGCTCATGGCTGCTGGAAGGGATGGGGCACATCTGTCCTGCTGGGTGGGTTTTGAGGTCTGGGCGCTCTGGTCGGTGCCTGCAGTGAGAATCTGCTGATGTCCTTCCCTGCTGCAGGCCAGGCCGTGCCTGTCCCCTACCCAGGGAAACACCATTGCAGTGGGTATCTGGAGAGGGCGATGCTTATCCCAGAGGGTGGCATCGAGGCACCCGTGGGGAGAGCAGTGGGGGAGCCGCCAGGCGCCCCACTGTGCAGTGTCTGCTTTAGCTCCTGCAGCCTCCCGGGAGGTGTGTGTTAACGTTATGCCTGAGTTCCAGAGCCCGGGCTCCACAGTCGGCTGGCACCCTTGACCTCTGCTTTGGGCTCCCTGGGACGGAAACTCTGAAATTCCTCGCTTTGGGCCTCGTTACTCTGTGTGTGGGTGGACACCCAGGGAGCCCACGTGCAGTGGGTGGGGTCGCACTGGGTGGGCTGTGCCGCCGTGACATCTCCTGCTGGTCTCCTGAGGTCCTGCCCCGTAGCTGGACCTGTCGTGGGGCCCTGGGCAAGCCTCCCCGCTCAGGGCCTCTGTAGCGCCTCTCTGTGTGATGAAGGTGGGCTGGGGTCCCCACCCCGACTGCCCTCTAACACCGCCCCCAACCTCCTCCTCCGCAGGTCTGGGAGCAGTGACCCCTACTGCATAGTGAAAGTGGATGACGAGGTGGTGGCCAGGTGAGGAGCGGAGGCCGGGTCTGGGGCGAGGAGAGCGGGGCTGGGGAGGGCAGAGGGGCCCCTCCTAGACCTGGGGAGTCCAGGCATCAGAATTCACAGGAGAAGGAGGTGCGGCGGTGGGGTTGGGGGGAGGGCAAGGCTCACCCTGAGGGTGGACGAAGCGGGCCTGACATAGGTGCTCCCGGCCCTGGCCTCAGGACCGGACAGCCGGGGCTGTCAGCTCCTCTCCCCACGGAGCCCCAACTGGCTCACACCTTCCCCCTGCACCTGACGACGTCCCTGCTGGCTCCCTGGGGCTGACTCAGCGGCTGCCAGCCTGTGCCTCTGAGGGCGGCCTCTCTGGGGCAGGCGTCT